TTTTTTTTAACTTTTATTTAATGAATATAAATTTCCAAAGTACGATTTATGGATTACAATGGCTTCCCCCCCATACCGTCCCTCCCACCCACAACCCTCCCCTTTCCCACTCCCTCTCCCCTTCCATTCACATCAAGATTCATTTTCGATTATCTTCATATACAGAAGATCAGCTTAGTATACATTAAGTAAGGATTTCAACAGTTTGCTCCCACACAGAAACATAAAGTGAAAAATAATAGATGATTTTTTAAAATAATGATGAAATCAGATCAGACCTATTGTCATGTTTAATCCCAGTGAGAGTCAAGTTGGGAGTTGATAATTTTTTTTTTTTTTTTACAGAGGATCAGTTTAGTATGCATTAAGTAAAGATTTCAACAGTCTGCACCCCCATAGAACCACAAAGTGAAATATATTGTTTGAGTACTCGTTATAGCATTAAATCTCAATGCACAGCACATTAAGGACAGAGATCCTACATGAGGAGTAAGTGCACAGTGACTCCTGTTGTTGACTTTACAAATTAACACTCCTGTCTATGGCATCAGTAATCTCCCTATGCTCCAGTCATGAGTTTCCAAAGCTATGGAAGCCCTCTGAGTTCTCCGATTCTTATCTTGTTTAGACAAGTTCATAGTCAAAGTGGAGGTTCTCTCCTCCCTTCAGAGAAAGGTACCTCCTTCTTTGAAGACCTGTTCTTTCCACTGGGATCTCACTCACAGAGATCTTTTGCCAGAGTGTCTTGGCTTTCCATGCCTGAAATACTCTCATGGGCTTTTCAGCCAGATCTGAATGCCTTTAGGGCTGATTCTGAGGCTAGAGTGCTATTTAGGACATCTGCCATTCTATGAGTCTGCTGAGTATCTCACTTCCCATGTTGGATTGCTCTCCTCTTTATTTATTCTATCGGTTAGTGTTAGCAGGTACTAGACTTGTTTATGTGCTCCCTTTGACTCTTAGTCCTTTCATTATGATCAATTGTGAACTGAAATTGATCACTTGGAATAGTGAGATGGCATTGGTACATGCCACCTTGATGGGATTGAATTGGAATCCCCTGGTATGTTTCTAACTCTACCATTTGGGGCAAGTCAGCTTGAGCATGTCCAAAATTATACACCTCTTCCCTCTCATATTCCCACTCTTATGTTTAACAGGGATCACATTTCAGTTAATTTTCAACACTTAAGAATAACTGTGTATTAATTACAGAATTAAACCAGGCATATTAAGTAGAACAGACAAAAAAAACTACTAAGATTGATAATGTATTAAGTTGTTCATTAACAGTCAGGGCTATGCTGATCAAGTCATCATTTCCCATAGTGTCCATTTCACTTCAACAGGTTTTCTTTTTGGTGTTCAGTCAGTTGTCACCGATCAGGGAGAACATATGGTATTTGTCCCTTTGGGACTGGCTTATTTCACTCAGCATGATGTGTTCCAGATTCCTCCATTTTGTTGCAAATGACTGGATTTCGTTGTTTCTTATTGCGGTATAGTATTCTAAAGAGTACATATCCCATAATTTCTTTATCCAGTCTACCGTTGATGGGCATTTAGGTCGGTTCCAGGTCTTAGCTATTGTGAATTGAGCTGCAATAAACATTAGGCTGCAGACCGCTTTTTTGTTTGCACCCACCTGGGAGACCAGGAGGAAGCACCTGGCTCCTGGATTCAGATCAGCACAGCTCGCTGGCCATAGCGGCCACTTGGGGGGGTGAACCAACCGAAAAAGGAAGACCTTTCTCTCTGTCTCTCTCTCTCTCACTGTCTAACTCTGCTTGTCAAAAAAAAAAAAAAAGAATCTGTATTTAGTTTGCTGCTCATTGAGTGTAATCAATAGTCATGCCAGAGCCTACTGAAGGGACTGTGATTAATTTTTTTAATGAGTGAAGGATTGAACACCAATAGGGGAGCTAGGTAAATTTTCAGCAGAATAAAAATGTTGTGACAATTTTTTTTTTAAATAATGAAATTCAATATAAAATGTACATGTTTATTTTTGTGAAGAGGATAAAGAAATTTTTACCTTTTCACGAGACATCCATTGCATAATCTCTTAATAAAGCAAAACTTTGAAAAAAATCTATAATCAGAAAAAATTAAATTAAATAAATATGTCAGAGAGTATCTTTGAGACTCTCATTTTCTCTTGTATTTACTGATTGTTTGCACTTCAGCACAAAGAAGGGCCATTAGAGTGAGCATCTGCTCTCCTTATTCTCTTCATATCCAATGTCCTTGAACCTTATCACATGATATCATCATATAAAATGTTCACTAGGGAATTTAGATTTTTCACCACAAGATTATACAGCAAATGCAAAGGAACTGTTTTACTTAGCCAATTCTACAGCAGACAAATTACATATTAGTAACAGATATTTGTATTTTTAATACCGTTCATCTTCATCCAGTGACCAGGATAAGGTTTTCTCTGCTGCACATCAGAAATAAATTTAGTTTTGGCCCCTTCTCTTTTGTATTGTAAAAATAAAAACTCATTTTTTGTTATCAATAGCAGCATCTCTGTCTTAGAAGCATGGTCTTAATCATATTTGGTTGGTGTTTTGCGTTCTCCCCTCCAAAATAGTCACCTCATGAGTACTGCTTTCAAGTTAAATGCCGACTCTACCCAAATTGAATTCAGGGATCTAATTTTATTTGTTAGGTTGTGGCAATCTTGTAGAACATGGAGTACAGCACAGCAAGAGCACACACATCTTCCGTGGTAAGAAAAACATGTGTGTGTATGTATATATGTCTCTCTCTCTCTCTCTCTCTCTCTCTATATATATATATATATATATATGAATTAGAGACTAAAGGTTTCAGAAAGGTAGAAACCATAATTTCAAATGGAAGGATGCACACACACACATAACATTGAAAAGGCAATACAACAGAAAAAACATGATCCTTAAGTAATTCACTCTGGAAAGAAGAAGGAAACAAATTCAAATATATTTATATATTTAAACCAGAACCATGGAGATAAAATTATGAAAAACAACAAATGCATTTCTGTATCTGCTTACATATTTAAGGATATTCTTTCTCTCTACCTTTACACATATATGCTCATATGTATGTATATGTATAGTGTTATATGTATCAATGTATGCTAATTGAGATTATATGTGCAATCTCATTGAATGACTATGTAGCTCATTTTGGACTACTAGCTTAGCAATTTGATTACCAATGTATAACTTATCTGCAACATTTATCTTAAGCAAAGTTAAATATTTTAACCCCCACTGTTAATAAGTATTTTTATTTTGTGCAAAAGGGACAGTCTGTAGTAATGAAAAGTATAAATTTAGATACCTGTCAAGAGACTCAATCTACCTACATACTATATTTTTATTATATGTTTTCATCATGCAGTTAGCTATCCTGTTATTATTGCTTCTTCAGGGAGGTATGAACAATGTAAATGTATTTTTTTCATAGCCTGAGGTTTAGATCAGATGAATGAAATTGGCATAATATTTTTTGTGAGTAGATTACTATCTCTGAGTGGGTTTATCTTTATCATTTTCCAGCAGATGGTGCCATTGCAACAATTTTTTTTTTAATCTTTGCATGTTTGGGGTAAATGAAGTACCACTATTTTTTGTGATGATACAATGAGTGGAGATATATTTTCTGAACGGGTTCTGTCTTTCCATTTAGGCTTCTCTAAATGAAAATCTTTCAGTGACAGTAAGATTGTGCAGAAGAACATAAAAAAAAATGATTGCTTTCCCTGTGTCTGAACTGTAAGCTACTTATCAGTTGCTCTTCTTGCTCATTAAAAAGTACACTGTTTACCATTTTTAACAAATTATTTTCTTTTACAATGATTCTGGAGACACATAATCAGTGTATTAAACAACATTTAAGCAAAAAATCCTTCAGAAAATCATGGTGCTCTGATTGCCCCTTATTTGCTTATTTTTTCTTTTTTTTTACATTTGGCTGTGTTTTATTCTTGAAATCTATAATTTGGAGGCCTTGTCTCATAATTGTTTTTGTAATACACATGGAATGTAACATAATATTTTGCATTCAATAACATAAGTTAGTTAAACATGCTAATAAAAAGTGTGTAATTATTTGCTATTCATGTCCAGGTGTTAACTACCTCTTGGTACCTGAGTTTATGTTGTCATTCTTATATAGTCTCTACAGTTAATTGTGTCCTCATAGATTTTATATATATATATATATTTAAATATTAATTCATTTATTTGAAAGGCAGAGTTTGAGAGAGGCAGAGAGAGAGAGAGAGAAAAATCAGTCTTCCATTGATTGGTTCATTCCCCAAATAGCCACAATGGCTGAACCTGGGCCAATCAGAAACCAGGAGCCTAGAGTTTTCCTGGGTCAAGTTCCACTGCTTTCCCAAGCAAATCAGCAGGTAATTGGTTCAGAAGCAGAGCACCAAGGATTAGAAATAGAACCCAAATCGAATGCCGGCACTGCATGGGGCAGCTTTACCTGCTATGCCACAGTGCTGGCCCTGTCCTCATACATTTTACAACAGGCCTGCTTCTCCCTATAGTATCTAACTCCCAAACCAGCCTCACTACTGATAAATTACCCCTTTCTAAATTAATTCATGCATTGATCCATCAACCTATCAATTAATTAATCAATATTCACTTTCATCCAAAATATGTTCCCTGGTCTGCTATTTATTAGGAACTACTTTATAATTTAGTGAGATTTTATAAAGTTTGGGTAATAAGAAAGCTTTGCTTTATGATATTAGAGCATCCAGATAGGAGCAGGTACTTGGCCTGGCAATGAACATACTCTAAGACTCTCAGTCTCACATGACAGTGCATTAGTTTGAATCTCAGCTCCAACTCCTAAGTCTATCTTTTTGCTAATACAGATTCTTGGAATGCAGTAGTATTGACTCAATAATTATGTCCCTGTCAACCATGTGGCAGGCTGAATAGAGTTCTGGGTTCTGGGTTCTATTGTTGTAAGCATTTTAGGGGTGAATGAGAATGTTGGAGATCTCTCTCTCTCCATCTCTCTATCCCTATATCTTTCTCTGTGTTTGACTCTTTCCCTCTCAAGTAAGTTTATAAGAATTAAAAAGACAGTTAGAAAAACAATAAGTGATTATTGGCATTGTATAAATACAAATAGGAATTTCTGGAAATGGAAGTCAAATATCTTCACTAACCAGACTCCTAAATTTTAGTCAAATAGTTTGTTTTAACAGTGCTAGTGTTAATGATAGGATTTTAAGAAGAGATTTAGGAAAGGTAATAGGACAGACCTTGAACTAGAAGTTTGTCAATGGCAAGAGAAAAGCAGGACAGATTTAGACACTGCAGCACTCCAGATATTAAATTTACCTTTTTGTTAAATTAACAACAGATAGAGAAAGGGAATTTTTAAAACATGGTTAATTGACATATTAAATTTTTATAAAATGATTTAAAAATTTCAAGAAACTGTATCTAGTGAGAAAAATTACTTTTCATTTTTCATATTTGTTAGAAGACTGTTATTTCAATTAGAGCAAGTCTCAAATTTTTGGAAAGAATATTTGGTTAATTACAGACTTGTAAGCAAATATCCTGCAAAAGTAGTTGATGAAAGGAAGAGAGAAAGAGAGGAAGAAAGGAAGGAAGGAAGGGAGGGAGGGAAAACAGAAACTTAAATGTTACATGTGAATACCATGATGATAATTTCATAACAGGAAAAGTTAATGATATATATTTTTCCTTTATTCCTTAGAACAACTACTGGAGACACATAATCAGTTTAAAGGTAAATATTAACTCAGCATTTCAAGGGGTATTTTTAGTCTTAGAATTATATCAGGTTTAAAAAGCAGTATTTGCTACAAAAGCTAAAAAAATGATTTAATAGATAAACATGTTCAATCTGGACATTACACCTGAAACATCAGATTGTATTCCCAGAATATGTAACATTTTAGGTGTTTATAATTTTTTTTCAAAGGCAGGAGCTGTGGCATAGCCAGTTAAACTACCATCTGCAGTGCCAGCCTCCTATGTGGAAGTCAGTTCAAGTTCCCGCTCCTCCAATTCATATCCAGCTGTCTTCTAATGGCCAAGGAAAGCAGTGGAAGATGGCCAAGCCTTTGGGCCCCTGCACCCTTATTAGAAACCTGAAAGAAGCTCCTGGCTCCTGGCTTTGGCTGGTCCATCCCCAGCCCTTGGGGGCCCTTTGGGGAGTGAACCAGCAGATATAAGATCTCTCTGTCTCTCCCCTTTCTGTCTCTGTTACTCTGATTTTCATATAAATCTTAAAACAATAAAATTTTATTTCAGAAATTAAGAAAATTGTGGATCAAAGTGGTATTTTATTGGATTCTTATTAAAACACTTTCATTCCCCATCATCGGCAATAAAACTCATTTAACACATACACACATAAGATGATGATTCAATATTGCATTTATTATATTATAAACCTTATGAGGGCTCAAGGGGAAATTTCACAGGAGAATGGAAAGGAGAATGGATTTTTAATAGAATAAATTGGAGAATATTTTGTTAACACAAACAAAATTTATTGTTGAATTTCAAAAGTGAAAATGATGAATTGAGATAGTTGCTGTGGTACAGTGGGTTAACCTGCTGCTTGGGATGCTTGCATTTCATATAGAATGAAAGTTTCAAGTCATGGTTACTCTGTTTCCAATGCAGCTGCCTGCTAATCTACCCAGGAAAGAGAATGTGGTGGCCCAAGTACTTGAGCCCTCACCACCCACATAGCAAATTCAGTTCTGTGTTCCTGGCTTAGGACTGGTTCTGCTACTGTGATCATTTTGAGAGTCAATCAGCAGCTGGAAGATTGGAAGATTCTCTCTCTCTCTCCTTTGTCCTCCAAATAAATAAATAAATATTTCATAAAGAAAATGATTACTTATTATTTTTGAATTATTCAGAAGAATTTTTCTCTTGACTTGAAGACCTTTTGAGTCATAAATAATAACATGATCCCAAAGTATGTTTCATTGATAAAATTTGGAAGTGTAAAATTACAATGATCAAGTTCTCAGAAAGCATTCATTGTTTCATATCTATTTTACTTAGGATAATACTATCTAAATTCATCCATATATCCACATTTGATGCAAAATTATCAAAATTTTATTTCAAAACTCTTGATGGAAATACATGATTGTATTATATTTATATACAGGTGTAATGAGTTGCTTTTTGTCCCTCAAAGATAATTATTCTCAAGGTGACCTTGACAGGAATTAAGTCAAAATGCATACCTAGTTAAAGGAAGTCACCTGAAGTAGTGTGCATCTCTATTCCAATATGACTAAAGTCATCTTAAGAAAGGAATAGGCCCTTTGAAGGGTCATGTGCAAGAAAGGAATAAAGACATTCAGAGAGAAGAAGGTCACGAGAATATGAAAACACCTGGTTTCTGGTTGGCACAGCCCTTGTTATTGCAGCAGTTTGGAGAGTGAACCAGCAGATGGAAAATGATCTCTTTCTCTCTGCAACTTGCCTTTTAAAAAGAATAAAAATTGTCCACTCTCAGTATTATTATTCAACATAGCTAGAGAATTTTTAGCAAGAGTAATAAAGCAAGAAATCAAAGGTATACAAATTGGAAAAGGAGTGTCAAATTATCCCTGTTTGCAGAGGACACAAAACTTTATCAAAAAACTCCCAAAAGAGACTATTGAAACTCATAAAGAATTTGGCAAATTCATAGAAATAACATTGAACACACAAAAATCAATAGCATTGTTATAAACCATCAGTGCTCTGGATGATAGAGAACATATAAGATCTATTTTCCTTCAATGGTTATAGTCACCTATATTCCCACCAACAATGTACAAATGTTTCTTTCCCCCACCTCCTATCCCTGCCAACACTTAGCATTTGTGTTTTTGAAAGCATCCATTCTAACTAGAGTGAGGTAACATATCCTTGTGGTTTTGATCTGCATTTTCCTGAGATTTAGTGGTTTGAGAAAATTCTTATGCCCCTGTTGGCCATTTCTATGCCTTCCTTGAAAAATATCTATTTAGAACCATCATCCATTTTTAAATTAGATTTTTGCATATTTGCTAGTGATATGTTTGTTTCTAATATATGCTTTTTTTTAAAGAATGTATTTATTTATTTACTTCATAGGTAGAATTACAGAAAGAAGATTTTTCATTTTTTGCTTCATTCATCAAATGGCTACAATGACCAGGTCTGGACCTGGACAAGGCCAGGGGCCAGAACTCCATCAAGATCTCCCTTCTGGGTGGTAGAGGGCCACATTCTGCCACTTTCCTGGGCACATCAGCAGGAGCTGGATCTGAAGCAGAGCTGCCAGCACTGAACCAGAACCCACAGGGGATGCTGAGGTTGCAGGCAAGGGTTTAACCTTGTGTGTCACAACAGTAACCCCTGGAGATATCTCATTTTAAATGTGCACTTAAAGAGTGATAAAATGAGCAGGGAGGAATACAGGAATAGTAAAAGGGCACAGATACACAGAAGAAAGATTTAGAAGTAGTTAGACATTTATACTCTTCCTATAAATTCTTGAATGTAAATCCCTTGTTGAATTTCATGCATGGCATTTTGGCAAGGGGAATTTGAGGAAACTATCTTAGAAATTAGGTTGCTTGCAACTGATGGTAGAATAAATGTCATCCAATAGCAGCTTTAAGCTTGAATATTTTAGGTGATTAAATTAAGTCACATCAATGTTGTGCATGGACACATCTGAGAAATTCCGATTCTGAGAATTCACTGTAAAACTAGTGTCAAAATAATTAATCACATTGGTAGAAATACTCTTTTGCATTGCCAAGCAATACTTAACTAACATAATTAATTCTGATTATTAGTATCACTATAAACATTTGGACTTGAGGTTTTATCTCACCAGTGTTGCAAATATTTACACAGCTGTGTTAGTCTTATCAAGTAAATATTCTAATACTAATGACATTGAATTTAAAGATGAGTAAGTCAACTTCTCCTTGTTGTGACTAAAAATCAAATGTGGAATAAGGGCACCCTTTTAATCCATCTGAATAAATAACTGTAAAATAAGGTGAGATGTGGTAATGCAGAAGAAAAATTCAAATCCAGGTACTGTCCTTTAATGTGATAGAACATGACCATTAGGAAGGTCACCCTCATTTCGTTTCATAATCTTTATAGAAAATTATTAGGAGCCATTGTTGATAACATTATGGCAATCTAAAGTTTGCTGCATTAACTCATTGTGGATGTTTAAAAAAGTACTGGAAGACAATGAATGCAGAATAAGAATTTGAAACTCAAGTGTCAATGACTACAGTAAGAGAATTGTGTTTAAATACAGAGGGAATGAAGAATAATTTTGATATTTTTGTTTATTTATAATATCATTCAGGAGAATTCTTGTACTGCATTTATAGTTGAAAAATTTAAATTGGATATTGATCTTAGTGTGGATTGTAGAAGATAGAAAATATGAAAAAATGACACACTGAAATTTCTGCTTTAAAGTAGGAAAAATGTGATGTGCCTTATCCTACTGAAAAGCAAAGACAGCTGGAAAAATATGGTGGAAAGACAAATCCTTTCTATGTAGATCAGAACTCAGGAGAAGAGAAATACATGTAATACATATAATACAAATACACACAGTCTACAATAATCCTACATCGTTGTAATAGTGAAAAATGAGAGTGGATACTTCCAAGGAAATCATAAAAGAAAGAATAGCTTTCAGGGTCAAATAATGAGTTTACCTTTTGCTGTATTGATTTTGCCTCAATATCAAGTGAAAGTGCACAGCGAGCAGTTGAAAATGATGGGCAAATCAGGAAACAGGTTAAGGCAAGGTTATGAAGTTACAGGTTTTCCTCATAGAAGAAATAATTTTAGTTGAAGATGGCCTGCCATTAGTTCTGGATAAATCAGTTACTGTTTGAAATTCTGAGTTAAATATCTGCCTGATCACTAGACAGAATCTGAAATTAGAAAGTTAAGGAACTCAGCAATAAATTCATAATGGCTTACGTCACAATAATGAAGTTTTTAAGTGGTTTTCTTTGCATTGGATTTTCAAATAGAAAAAGTGGCAAATTAAAGAAATTGAAGAATTAAATATTGCACCAATCTCTGCTTTAGGGTTTTAGTTGCTCTTGGATAAATTAGATAAGAAATTATGAAGAATAGCACAGTCTAGTCCCTCTTTGGGAATAAAACAATTCAATAATCTTTTAATAAAATAAAAAAAAATCTGCCTGATTACTTGTGATACAGATATTTGCCAATGGAACTGCAACTCCTAAATTTTGTTCAAGTAAGATCCACTTTCAAACACATCATCTCTGTTGCCATGGCAGCTTTTTAAGCACAAGTGAGCATCACAAGCAGATCTTGCTGCCTTTGGGTGCTGTGGCTGTGCCCCTGGAAGTGAACCTAGAGATCCTACACCCTAGCTGGGAAGGAGTGGGGGCAGGGGGACAGACATCATCTCCAGATTGCCTGTATTGATGGTCTCCTTAGAAGAAATTGAGGTATGTCTGTTCTTGAGCAAACTGCTTTAGTGGGGGGGGGGGGACTTTTCTGGAGAAAGAAAGAGAAGCAAGTAAGATAAGAGAGGGAAAATATTAGCCAAAGACATGGTCACAGTTGATCTCAAAGGAGTCCTAAAGTATATATTGTCCCACAGAATTCCTCCCAAAATGGGTAAACATCTTTTTTCCTCTTGTTACCTTCTGTTGGTTATTGGTTCAGGCTGAACTACCTACTGGAGTTGGGGATCATAAATTCCCAGGCCTTAGTAGTTACCATGTATTTAAAAGAGACCAAGTCTGTCCACAGAGCTGAGGGTGCAGGTAGGATGAAACTGGCAGCTCCTAGCAGCCAACCGTCCCCAAGGTAAGATGTCTACCAGTTAGGTGAAAGGAATTCACCTGGAATTCAAACAGCATCTACTGTGCCTAAAATTAAATGTTTATAGAAGAAAGAGGACTTCAAATAAAGACTTTCCAAATCTGTTATTTCCACCTTCTCAGAGAAATTTAAGTATAAAGAGTGATTGTGGTTTTATATAAACCCATCCTCTAATGCAAGCAGTGCCTGTGCCTTGATAAGAAAGCATTTTCTTCCTTCTTCTTGTTAGATTTGGCTATACGAGACCTAGTTTGTCTTACACAAGATA